TTTACGTATCCCATTGTAGCGGTGAAAACGGGCACCTGAGAGCACAAATATCCATAGGTGCATAAAGGGAGACTGGGGAGGGGTTGTGGGGGGAGGTATATAGCTGTAATATATAATTATAAATACTGTTCTAATATATAATAATAAACATAGGTATGTATTATTTAATATCAAGTATAAATATGAATAATAGGGTACATGATACATAACATATATAAAATACGCTGTCTATATATATAAAAAATGTTTTGCTATATATTATGTATTGTTATTTTATCCTTTTATATAAAAATGAAAGAGTGGCTGAGCCCATGTGTGCCTTTACAGACAGCGTGTAAGTGTGTGCATGCATGTGAAATCGGTGACAGCACGTGCACGCATAAACTAAACCTACACGTGTATGTATGGCTAAATACATATATACACTAAGTAATTTAAGAAGCGGGGGAGAAACGATATCATGTAGTTTTATTTATACCTATGTATTTGAATAGTATATATGTAAGAATAACCTCTGTGAGACTGTGGATGTGTATAATTGAAAACAAAAAATTACATGTGTTATATACGTTGTCAAATGTTGTATGCTGTGTATGTTACACATCTATATAAAAAGGGTGTATAAATACATATATGTACACACACTTATATATATAAAAAGAGTGGCTGAGTGTGTTTATGCGTATAAATACATATATATACACACACTTATATATATAAAAAGAGTGGCTGAGTGTGTTTATGCGCATGCATAATTAACTACACCATAGTGTCTATGTACACACTATGTTCTATATATACTGTAGCTATATATATAAAAGAATAGCTGGCTGGGAGAGTTCAAGAGTGTATAATACAATTTTTTATATATATATGTTTGTGTGTGTGTGTATACATACATATATATAAAAAACCACCTGCCACATACACACACATATATATGTGTGCGTGTATAGAAACCCCGCCACGCAGGCGCGGTGCCCAGGAGGCCACGCGTGTGACACAAGCGCACGTCTACGTAGGGGGTCTGCGGGAGGGGGGCTGTGGCTGGGACCCCCCGCCCC